AAGCTGTGCAACCTGGAACGTCCCCAGATTTGCTTGTTAGCTCTGAGATTAACACACGACAGCCAGTGACTCCCCAATGTCCTGAACTGACACGACCCACTGTGGCTGGAGGTTGCAGGATCCATGCCCTGGCACACAGCCACTGACCCGGCCTTGGCCATGCCTGCTGTAGTGTGGCTCCTCAAGGTCAGCTAGAGGTAGAACCTGGGCCCTTTTGAGGTCTTGCTGGGAATTAGCTCAGCCGAGCCCACGTGCAGGGCTATCCAGAGTCACAGGAACACACGGCATTCTGTCCCTGCAGATGCCTCCCTCCCCAGTGCTTCACTTCAAAGGCTTCTGGACATCTCTGTGGCCACAGCTGGTGCTGCAGCACCAGGCAGTGGCTGGGTTTAGTGACTGCCGATGACAGTTTTCAGTAAATACCCTGGGCACTGGATTGTTTGCCTAGAGTGAGCTCAGAGTTGGGTAAATACAGAGGAGCCCTAAGAATGCAGCTCTCCGGAAACTGCCAGACAGCAAACAGTGACATCCTCTCAGGCCGGTAAGCTCCAGCCATCTGCTCTGGACTCTAGGCTGCTGATTTTCAGGACTCCCTGGAGCTTGGGAGGTGCTGAATGTTTTTGATTAATTTCCAGTCTTGAGAAAGATGATTTTGACAATTATGGTTAGAGATTTTGGAAACCCTTCCATTGCCTCTACTACAAATTGACATCTATCGGTCTCATAAAAACAGGAAAAATATTTTCCAGAAGCCCATCTTGGTGAGGTCGCCCAGGCAGAGGAACGGCTTGACTGGAAGCAGGAAGGCAGAGTGTGAGGAGCTTACGAAAGACCGCAGGGACAAGGACACTGTGAGCCTCACCCTCTGCCCACTGTGTGTGCTGCCAAATGGAGCTCAGAGACCTGCAGGGCATCATCAGGAGACCAGTCCATGTAAGATGGGAGCTCCAGAGGGGAGGAACACATAGACACTGAAGAAGACATCTAAACATGTACAAATGTGATGAAACACTTCATTCTACACATCCCAAACTACAAAGGACACTGAGGGGGATAAACTAAAAAGGATCCACACCTCCACATCACAATCAAACTAGAAGGAGCTCATCATGAATTTAAAGACCCCAGCAAGATTAACAGCAGATTTATCATCAGAAATGCAGAAGACACAGGCAAGCAAGACAGTGTCCTCAGTACCCAAGAAGAAGGAGAACTATCACTCAGTTACTTTATTGCAGCCAAACTGTGTTTTGAAAATGAAGGTGAACTAAAGACATTTTCATGTAACTCAAAACACAGAATGTGCTACCCCCAGACCTGCCTTCCCAAAACAGGAACCCTGGGGAAACAGGGCACACACATCAAGGTAAGGGTGTGATGACTAAGATGGTACAAACATGTTTCTTCTTCCCTTAGCTGACTTAAAACCTCCGGACAGGACAACATGCTCACAGGCTGTTGGGATACCCAGAGAAAATGCATTTGGCTGTGGCAGAGCAGGGAGCCACTCTGAACTCTAGCAAAGAAGGGAGACAAGGAGGTAGCGTCGACAGCAAGGCTGAAATATCAAATCTGAAAGTCATGATGACAAACTCTGTATATAACTGTCTCTTGTCATCTGCCGGCTTTTAAGAAGAATGAAACTATTGAAGTAATAAATAGAGCGCTGGGTCATTGGCACAAAGGGGCAGAGAGAAGATAGCCAGGTGAGGGACATCTCCATCCCTCATTGGAGCTCAGTTAGCAGATTCTGGTAAAACCAAGACATCGAGGGTAAGGTCTAAGGCAGCCATTAATAAAATAGCTCGCAAAGTATAGGAAAATCTCCGAACTCAGTGCTGGTATCCTTCCAGGCCGCCTCATGAAAGAAAAAAGAATATCGCATTAGAAAGTATTCACAGTGTGAAAGAAAATGGGGAAGAAGGAAAAGGGGAATAGAAACATCAGACATACAGCAAATGAACATTAAAACACCATGCAAATCCACGTATTCACCTTCAGTGTGAATGGATTAAACAGTATAATAAAAAGATGTTGCCAGGCTGGATTAATAAATAATATTTATTAATTTTATTTAGATTTAAATATACAAATAGGTTACAAATAAAAAGGATGTTTAAAAAAATATATCATGCTGAGAGTCCGTTATGAAAGCTGGGGTGGTATACAACATCAGACTTAGATCACATAAAGTTAAAAGTTATCAGCGATAGACTTTTACTATCATAAGAGGCCAACCCATAAAGGAGATATAACAATTAGAGACACATACAAATGTCATAGTAGATTCCTAAAGCATGGCAAGCAAAAGCAGACCAAAGAAAAGAAGAGAGATAATCCAGCAACAGCCATGGGAGGCTCCAGTATCCTTTCAATAACAAATGGGGCAACCAGGCAGAAGGTGGACAAGAAAAGTCACACTTGGGGCCAGGGATTTAGCTCAGTGGTTCTGCCACCCGCCTCGCAAGTGCAAGGACCTGAGTTCGATCTCTGGTACCAAAAAAGAAAAGAAAAATCATACTTGGAAAAGCACCACAGACTAGATGGGCCTTGAAGATACTTGGGGAGCATCCCCCAACAACAGCAGACACACCCATCTCACCCACACCCACTTTCTCCAAGACGGACCACGCTCAAGGCCAAGGGACTCATGTTGTACGCTGTCAGAAGGATCAGTGTTCGCTCTTACCATGGTGGGCTGAAATTAGGAAGCAGTGACATCAAGGAATTTCACAAATGCCTGCAAATTAAGTAACACACACCAGATAACCACTGGGTCAAACAAGAATCGCACGAGGAATGAGAAAATACAGAGGTGAACGAAAGGAAGTCACTGTCTACCAAAACTTGGGCCCAGCCCAAGAAGTGCTGGGGGGGCAGTTACAGCTGGGGAAACTTACATTTAAAAGAAGAAGAAGAATCTCAGATCAATAACCTGAACTTCCGCCTGAAAACACTGGAATAAAAGAGAAGCAAATGATGCCAGTTTAAGCAGAAGGAAGGAAATAATGAAAATTAAAGCTGAAACTAGACCAGAAAAAGCAGTAAAGTTGATGTGACCAAAAGCTGGTTCTTAGAAAAGATCTTCAAAATTGACTAAACTTTAGCTAATTTGATTGCGGGGGTGGGGGGAGAGGGAGCGAGAGATCAAATGACTAAAATCAGGAATGAAGAAAAAGACACTGTTGCTAGTGTTCCAGAAATAAAAGGAGCAAATGGAACATTGCTGACAGTGTGTGCCAACAAATAATCTAACTGTTCAACTGGAAAAAAGTTCTAGGGAGACACAAACTCCTGACTCAGGAAGAAAGAAAATTCAAGTAGACCTATAACAAGTGGTGAAATTGAATTAGTAACCTAGAAATTATCCACCAAGAAAAGCCCAGGCCCAAATGGCTTCACTGATGAATTCACTGCGGTTCTTCACAAACTCTTCCAGCCAACAGGAAGAAAACAAGATGCTTCCCAAGGCCAGTATCACACTGATACCCAAATCAGACAAAACCATCACAAGAGCCCTGTAGAGTGGCAACACTCCTGAATATAGATGCAAAATCCTCAAGAAAATGCTAGCGTAAAATCCTGGGATGTATAATAGGGACTGTGTGCCAAAAGCAAATAGGGTTTGTTCGAGCATTGAAAGATTGATTTGACACCTAAAACTCAATGAGCACAATGATGTGCGTTGTCCATAAGATCGTGTATGGGGGGCTCTCACATTATTGCTTTCACAAGTGTAAAAAAATAACTTGATAAAATTCAATGCCCTGTGCAATAAAAACACTCCTTGAAGTAGTAGAACAGGGAATGTTCTCTTCCAGTGATTCACATCCTCAAACAATCACTGTGGAACCAGACATAGTGATGGAAGACCAAATGAGTTCGTTTTGGGTTGAGGAAGAAGACGAGGGCATCCTCTCTAACCAGATCTGGTCAACACTGTGCTGGAATTCTGGTCAGGGAGCCAGAGAAGAAAATGGAACAAAATAACCCACATTGAAGAGTTAGAAGAAAGCCTCTTTTTACACACAGAGTCACAATCTTCTATGGAGAAAATCATACAGCACCTGCCCCATGCCCCCCAAAAACATTTACACTAAGAGGTGAGTTCGGCAAGATTGCGGGGTTTAAGGCAATTGTTGCATTTCCATACATGTGCTATGAACAATCCAGAAATGAAATTAAGAAACTATTTCATTTACAATAGCATCAATACACAACAGATTTATAAGTAAATTAACAAGAGAAATTCAAGTCTTACACTCAGAGAAACTACAAAGCGTATTGAAAGGAATTTTTAAAAACCCAACTAAATGGGGAGATTCTGTGTTCCTTGATCAGAAGCCTTAATCTTGTTATGATGGCAGAACTTCTCTGTTTGACCCAAATATTCAATGTAATTGCTACCAGAACCCCAGTTGACTTCTTTGCAGAGATTCACTTGGCAAACTTATCCTAAAATCCACGTGGTAATTGGAAGTACCTCGAACAGCCAAAACCATTTTGAGGAAGAAGGTTGGAGGACACATAGACTTCCTCACTTCAAAACTCCCTGCACTGCTCCAGTAATCACTGTTGTGTGGCATGGGCATCCAATAATGAAGGGGCAGACAGAGATCCCTAGGGTCCAGTGGAGAGTCTGAAATTCACCATTTGCATTTAGGATCCACTTGTTTTCCACAGTGGTGCTAACATTTCCTAACAAGGAGATGAATCGTTGCCTCAACAGATGGTGCTGAGATGAATGGATGAACACACAAAAAGAATAAAGTTGGATGCATAACTCACAGAAAATTGAGAGTCAGCATCAGGGGAATGAGAAGTCTCAATGCATGAGCTAAAATCCTAAAACTGCTAGGAGAGAACATAGTTGTAAAATTTAAGAACAAATATATGTGTTTTTAGATATCGTATAAGCACTAAACAGAACAAAACTTAATTGGACTTTGACACAATTTAAGACATTTTTTTCTTTTGTTTTCTTTCCTGTTTTCCTGCAGTGCTGAGGATCCAACCCAGGCCCTCCTGCACACCAGACAAGCGCTTTACCTCTGAGCCACACTCCAGCCATGCACACTTTAAACCTACATGCTTTGAAAGGTACTGCCACATAACAAAAAGACAAACACCACAGTGGAAGGAAGTATTTGCAAATCACATGTCTCAGGGATGTGTGACGTGCAAGTCACATGTTAAGGGACTTGTACCTAGAATATATATATAAGGTATGCACACTAAATAAGAAGACATATACAGTAATACCTTGGTTTACAAATGCTTATGCTTGCAAACACTTCTGTTCATGAACAGAGCATTTGACAAAATTTCACTTCCATTTGTGAACTCTGCATTGGGAAACAAAAGCAACTGTGGCCATCTTCCCCACATGCACACGAATGCAGCCGTTGTCCTCAGAATCGTGGAAAGAATTAAGTTTGTGACCTGAGGTACCACTGTAGTCCATTAAAATGGGCAAAGGACCCAGATAGACATTAAGTCGAAGAAAACACACAAAGTCCACACTAAGCACACAATTAGCCATTGGGAACACAAATCACCCGAGAGAAGCCATCTTACACCTGCTATGATTCTGTAAGCTAAAAGAGAAGTCAAGGATGTGGAGAAATCGAGACTCTCCATCCATGAAGCTGGAGGAATTGTGAAAGAGTGCAGCTGTGTTGGATGAAGGTCCTGCAGTTTCTCCAAAGATCAAGCATAGCGTCAGCACAAGCCTCAGCGAAGCAACTCCCAGACACCACCCAAGGGAAGAAGGGAATGTGATTGTGGGAAACTGTGCACAATGTTCACAGCAGTGCTTCTCACAACAGCCCCCAGTGGAAGCAGCCCGATGTCGGTTTGCTGATAAGTGGCAAAGAAAACATGGCATAGCTGTAGATGGAACCATTATTTGGCAATGGATGCATCTTAAACAATGGATGAATCATGAGGACCTTAACTGAAAGAAGCTGTTACAAAAGACTGCATATCATACAGTTCCAGGAATATGAAAGTTTGGACTGTAAAGCTATGGAGACAGGAAGTAGATTATTGGTTGCTCAGAACGGGGGGCCTGGGTATCCATGGGGTTATTGTTCATGGACAAGATGAATCTACAGGAGAGGAAGATGCTCCAGAGCTGACGACGAGGCTGTTGCACTCGGGACCAGGCTACATAACTCAGATCCCACAGTCTTTAGGTCCATGTTATCTTGCCTGGGAAACAGGGACATATGCAGAAAGCTGCATGCTCCCTGGCTATGGGCGGAAGGCCAATAACCCGGCACTCCTGAAGCATGACAGCATCTTCTGAGGACAGTTGTCAATATACAGGCATTTGGGTGTAGAGAAAGTCTGCTTCCTCATTAACTTAATTCTTATCCACCCATTCTCTATAGTTGCTGTTTCATGAACCATGCACTACCCCTCCCCCTGTGCTTCTCACTGGTTAATAAAAGTGGGCCAACTGCAGTCTTATTTGAGTCTGTCCACTAGAGGCAGGTCTCCTCCCATCCCCTGCTTCATATCTTGAAAATTGTCTCTGTCTCTTTCTTTTTATTCTTCCTTGTTCCCCTCCAAATGTAGTTGAGGGTCTGATTAGCCCTTGGTACTGGTGCCTCTGCTCTGTGAATATGCTGCAACCACTGGATTGTACCATTTAAATCAATAGATTTTATAGTATTGGAGATGTATCTCAATAAAGCTCTCATTATGGCTTATGCCTAGATGCTCCCCCAAAGCCCCATGTGCTCACAAATGAGCTTTTGGGAGGTGACTAGATCACGGGTGGGTGATACTGAGTCATGAGTGTGTGATACTTGGTTAGTCCCCTGATGGGTTTATAACTAGGTAACATTGGGAGGTAAAGCCCACTGGGAAGAGGTTGGTCCATGTGGGCATGGCCTGGAAGTATATATCCCTCCTTTCCCCATCCCTCTCTGCTTCCTTTCTGCCATGCCATGAACTGTTTCTGTCTGCCATGCTGCCCTGACTTGGAATCAGCCAACTATGTACTGAAATCTCTACAAGCTATGAGCTAAAATAAACTTTTCCTCCTTTAACTTGTGGGTGTTGGGTATTTTGTCCCAGCAACAAAAAAGTAAATAAGACAGCTGTTAAATTTGGAAAGGATCTCAATGTTGACATTTAGTAAATAATTATCTTGGCTTTGGTGCAGTAGGGAGTGAAAGGATTAAGAGCCATTCAGAAGGAACGTGGAGGCTAGGGCAGAGTGTCAACGGGACAGACTTTGGGATCCACCTGGGAATGAGTGGCGCTCACTCTTGGGTGCTTCTGGGTGGGTCACGGAGATGTGGCTTTGGAGTTAGTGTCCGAACGCTCACCCCTTTCCCTCTGGCATCATTCCCCTGCTCTGCTTCCTGGCCAACATTAACTAAACAGCTTTGCTCCACCACTTCCTTCCACCATGATGTTTGTGTATTCAAGCCAGCTAGCCATGGACTAAATCCTTTTGAAACATGAGCCAAATGAAGCCAGGCCTCCTTAGAGCTGTGATGGCTAGTATTGTGTCTCAGGGATGGGAAAGCTGAAGAATACAAGTAACTACAAGGCACGGAGTGAAACACTGTGCATACATTTTCCCCTGGGCATTGTCTGAATTCTAAACTATGTACATCTATAATGAGACAGGAATAGAACACTCAGAAAGCAATAGCTAATAAGCTAAATTCTGTGGAGCCATTAGTTTCAGAATCCAGACAGCAGGAATGACAGGGCAAACCCTGCAGTCTTTCATTCAACTCCATACCTGCCCAGGATAAGCACAATCAGGGAACAGACCAGCTGCACCAGAAAACTGAATCAAGCTCAACTTCCTGTGCTCTGGCTGCCTTCTAGGTAACAAATAATCCCTCTCTATCTGCTAGTTTAAAATGAAGCACAGCTAAAGCAAGAAGTTATCATCAAAAGTCTCTAGATTTTATACAAAATGAATAGAATTCAATTAAAAACATGGAGGCATCCATAAACTCAACTAATGGGGCAAAATCTCAAAAGCAAGATATTTTGGAATTATTGTCTTTAGATTTAAAATGCCTGCATTTAAATATATTTTAAAAAGAGGGTGGAAATTGAACAAAATTTCACCTTAGAACCAAAAGGTGGTTCTGTAAGGAAGAACCAAATATAAATTCTACTACTGAGAAGTTGGAGGATGGACACTAAAAATTCAGTGGATAGTTTAACATCATGTAAATGCAGAATATATAAACTGAAAACAGGCACTGAAAAATATTAAGATTAAAGCACAGAGTTGAATATGATATAATATTAAGAAAAAAGAATAAGATGCACCTGGGCCCCAAAAGTTTTATTTATGTTAAATTAGAGAACTATAGAAGGACAGAGGGCAGATTATTGGACAGACATAGTCTTTGAGGACATAGACTTGGATTTTTTCCAAAGCTACAAGAGAAATCAAACCAAAAATTCAAGATTTTTTCTGAACCTACAAAAGGATAAAATAAACGAAAATCTTTCCAAGCATATTAGTAAATGACTGGTGGAGAAACAATTTAAAAATCTTAATACTGTTCAGAAAATGCTAATTAATTTACAAAGAGCAAAACTTAGGATGCCTGATTATTTAACATAAAACAATGAAAGCCAGAGACAATGGGACAGACACTGTGTGTGGGGCCAAGCTCACAAGGGAAGGCATGGAAATAACCCCTGGCACAGGTAAAGATAGTTCGTTTCAGGAGGCATAGGCAGCTACACCTATCTAGGTTTTCAAGTTGTATTTTGTTTATTGTAACAAATATAGAGTTGCATCTAGTGTGTTGATCCAACCTGATAGTCTCTGTCTTTTGATTGCTAGGTTTGTACACTTTACATTTAATATATTTATTAACAGCATTGGCTTACATTATCCACCTTGTTAGTTTCTTTCTTTTTGTTTCAACTTTCATTATATTTTGGATTTTTTTCTACCAGAATGATTTCTTACTCTTCCCCATGACACAGTGAAACAGCACGTAGAGGTGACAGGGCTTTTGTGACATAAGAGAGAAGATGAAGCTCAGACAGGGTCTCATCCCTTTCCTAGGGTAGCTGCCACTCCCTGCTCTGGGGTGTGTCATGAAGTAGGCATTCTGGCTCCACTTCCTCCAGTCCTAACTGTAGACCTGCAATGGGCTCCATGGAGAAGATTGTCTACCAGGAAAACTCCTTGTGGGTATTAGTCAGCTTTCTGTGGCTGTGACAAAATACTTGAGAAAATCAAGTTAAAGGGAGGAAAGATGTATTCAGAGGTTTCAGTCCATGGTCAGCTGGTTCTGTTGCTCTGGGTCTTTGCTGAGGCAGGACGTTGTGTGTAGTGGAACAAAGTTGTTTAGTTCATGAAGTCAGGAAGCAAAGAGAAAGAGGAGTGGGCGGAGCCTCGACATCCCCATCAAGGTCATGCCCAGTGTCCTAACTTCCTTCCACTAGGCTCCACCCACGGAGGCTTCTTCCTCCTCCAACAATATAAGTGTCCAACACAAGGACACCCCAGATCCAAGCTATAGCATTGTGTCCTGGAGCCTTCACATTCTCATGCAATCCCACACTCGACCCTCTGCAAGTCATTAACAGTTCCAGCTAAGATCTTTTACAAACTGTTACAGTACTGCTCTGCTCTAGGGAGGGACTCCACCCTGGTTCCTCAGGTCCGTCTTTCTTTAGATTCTAGGCTGGCTGTTGCTCTGGGACCTCAGTTATCTGATTATGAGCTGGGAGTTATTTGATTTTTTTCTTTCTATTATGATGAGATCAATATTTTTTTCATCTTTCTACACTTAATGTGGCAGCAGGAAATTTGAGACTGCTTCCTGAATTTGGGGCAGGGCAATGCATCTGGAGACCAAGCTTCTTGATTGGGCCCAGTGGAACAGCTGGCAGAGATGATCTTAGTTCCACAAATCTCATCTCACCAGCTGCATGACTTACAAAATAAAGGCTGTTAAGATAAGAAGAACCAAGTGGACAGCCCTGCAACTATTCCTTCCTCTGGCACACTTATTGCTAGTACCAGGGGTATTCCCAGTACTATTAACTATCTAATCCAAGGAGAAACTGCTGATCTTGGAGCCATCATTCACATTTTAAAGGTAGGAGGAAAGACTGTCCTCATCACACTCCATGGAGCTGCTGTTTGTCTTGTACAGAAGCTAGATCATCACAGCTGAATCATAAATGCGGCAGGTTCTGGGGAGCAGATGGATCCCTCCTCTGCCCTGGCAATGGATCTACAGCCACCACAGTGTATTCTCCAGGCTCCTTACCACCAGCCCAGGTAGATGTGTGTTTGCTGTGGTGCTTACATTTGGTGAATGCTTTCCCCCCAATCTTTATCAACAGGGAAGATCAAAAGCCTTTTGTCTTCACAGAGCATACCTCTCTTTTGTGTTGTTTGGGCTTGGTTGATTCTCTTGCTTTCTGTCACAGTCAATTCTGAAGGTCCTATGATTGCCT